ATTCATATATGTAAAGACATAGACGTGGTTACACACTCATGGAATTGTGTATGCGTGTGTAATTATATATATATATATATTGAATGGACGTGGTTACACACTCATGGAATTGTGTATGCGTGTGTAATTATATATATATATATTTTGAATGGACGTGGTTACACACTCATGGAATTATGTACGTGTGTATATTATTGTAAGCTATATGTTCAATGTTTTAATCTAGATGTTAGCTAGAGCGAGCATACTATCAAGATCTAATAACTTTGAGTAATTCCTAGGTGGGTGCAGTAGCTATAAAAACGATAAGTAGTTAGTAGCGATCCAGTTAGTAGAGCGCAGTCAAATTGAAGTACTAAGATCAGCGTTAGTTACCGCGTTTATTAAGCTTCTCGATCGATTAGCCCCGAAATTATACAAGTACGTTTATTTAGAGATTAGTCGTTGTACAATTGTAAGTTTCTTTTGAAAGTGAACGTTATTGGTGAACCTAGGCCTACAACTGTGTACAAAGGGTACTTATCTGTAAAAAACTTTAAGGAAGAAATAAAGACAGTGCTCAATTCAGGGGTTCGATTTTTCGCAATGGATACATCAAATAGCCTATTGTGTAGCTTTGTGTTTAACAACAAACACACACACACACATATCAAATAATTTAAAATAACCCACCCGACGAAAAAACGTTACAACAATATATATATATATATATGTATATGAGCTGATATTAAAGTAGGTATACACACATACACACATATCAAATAATTTAAAATAACCCACCCGACGAAAAAACGTTACAACAATAAATATATATGAGCTGATATTAAAGTAGGTATATACACACATATATTTATACATACTATTTAAGATTAAACCATGTAATGCAGGTTTACGGTCTTCGTTTCTGTGAGATTACGTCTTTGTTCTAATAACTGTTTGTTTTATGTCTAGCCTATGTCTCACGACCTTGTTTGAGGGGTGGAAAGTGGGCCATTATCCTTGCAGGAGAAGGAGACAGTTACTCTCGGTGCCAGCTGAAGCCGCCATCCGTAAGTTGGAATTGATTTTGTTTAGGTACTACAACAATAGATGATATCTGAAATAATGACATTATTCTCATCCTTTCATCTATCACCACTTAATTAAGGCCTATTGATCAATGTTCCAATTCCTCACTAGACTGTACTTTCTACCATTAAGTAAAATTTCTTCATTAATAACATTAATACTTTTGTTAGTTCTAAGTCATATCAACTTTATGTTTAAAGAATGTGTCATTGTAAGTCATGCCAACTTGATGTTTAAAGAACGTGTCATTGTAAGTTATGCCAATTTGATGTTTAAAGAACGTGTCATTGTAAGTCATGCCAACTTTATGTTTAAAGAATGTGTCATTGTAAGTTATGCCAATTTAATGTTTAAAGAACGTGTCATTGTAAATTATGCCAATTTAATGTTTAAAGAACGTGTCATTGAAAGTATACCAGCTCAATGTTTAAAGAACGTGTCATTGTAAGTTGGCATGACTTACAATGACGCGTTCTGTAAACTAAAGTAATAAAATATTTGTTTCTGTTCACTTTAATTTTGAATTTAAAGTAAACTTTTGATTAGAAAGTTAATATACGTACTTTCAGAATTATCACAGAAAAACTGTGCAGAAACTAATCAAGGCCATGGAACAGCTTCAAATTTCTCCTTATGCGAAGGCCGAGTCTGCTGAAGAGTTTGAAAGATGTGTTGATGATGTTTTATCGAAACCAGAACCTACAGGTAACTCTCGTTGTAGTTGTTTGATGACAATATCTAAAGTATCCAAATGTGGGATAATCCTGTAAACACAGGCTAAACAGAAATGTCTATATCACAGTTTTTCTCTCTAAAACAATATTCCAGTTCAACATTGAGTTTATGTTGAGCTTGTATTACAGGTCAACATTGAGTTTATGTTGAGCTTGTATTCCAGTTCAACATTGAGTTTATGTTGAGCTTGTATTCCAGTTCAACATTGAGTTTATGTTGAGCTTGTATTACAGTTCAACATTGAGTTTATGTTGAGCTTGTATTCCAGTTCAACATTGAGTTTATGTTGAGCTTGTATTCCAGTTCAACATTGAGTTTATGTTGAGCTTGTATTCC